CTCTTTTCTGTGTGTGCATATACACACACACACACACACATATACATACATATATATATATATACACATATACACATATATTTTCACATACATATATGTATATGCGTATGTTTTACATACGCATATACATATATATGCATCAAATTATGTATATATACATATATAACATACACATATTCCATGAATATATTTAAAATAAACATATATATTGTATACATCATACATAGGTATTTTTTCTGTGTATATGTCTATTAGAAACATATATATTTCTCTTTTTACATAATTGAGCAGTACAACATATTTATATATCTTCTCACTTTCATATTTTTCCTTTATTATTTAATATTATAATTATAATAGGAACGATTTCCCATGTCATTAATCATTAGGTGCACTCCCTGAACATTTTTAATGACTGCATACTATTCCATTATGTGTACACATCATAGCTTGTTCAATAAGTCATCTATTATTACAAATCTCAAAAAGAGTTGCCACATTTTCTGTTTTCTGTAGACAATGCTTCATTAGCCATCCTTATATTTAAATCTTTGGCTGTGTCTCTAATTCCTTACATTAGTATAACAAAGAATGATCCCAGCTTAAAACATTTTTTAAGACTCTTAATATATATTGCTAAATACTTTACCCAAAAAATTTTGTCTGCAGAGGGTAAGAAATGTTCCTGATTAAATATCAAAGCATATGGCAAAGGAGCCAATTTGGTACAAAGAGTATAACTCATAATTTTTCATAACTTCATTAAGACTTTGTCCAGTCTACTGGAAGTAAACCCAAATGGAACTATTTTGTAGCTGACAATCGGAACTCTACACTGATCATCCAGTTTTTAAATTGAGTGTTTTAATCACAACCCCAACCCTTCAAAAATAGCATTAATATTTGATATTGTGTTTTTAATCACTACCTTTGTTTAGAACTATATCTCCACTAACACTTAATGTTATAATTTTCTGAATCATCTCATTGAAGGACCTTCCACAAGAGCAAATAGTTTTATTAGAAGGACCAGGAAAATGTTCTTGTTTATCCTAATGCACAGAATATTTTGGACCCACATGGTATCTTTCAGGAGACAACATATTCTTCCCACTCTCATGCCCCTCCTTAAAGTCTCCCTTGAAATACAAAGTAATCTGAAAATTGTAAAGAACATTTTATTGTGTATCTGTGTGTTTTTTCCCTTTATTTTGTGGCTTCAAATCCATCTTCTGTATAAATACACGGCTGAGGTCAGCCAAAGATGGCTGCGTTCAGGCTAGTTGAGCAAAGGTTGGAGTGAACCCCAGCGTGCCGAGGAGGGTTGTGAGCAGAGCATAAGGCTCAAGATGAAAAATCATGAACCAGATGATACTGTCAAGGAAGACTTAATTTTCAATATCATAACCAGAAAAATTAACCCCTCCCAGAAGCAGAAAGGAATCTATTTGAACATGGATCAGTTTATATTGGACTTAATGCTGCTCTCTGTGGTCTAATAGCAAATAGTCTTTCTCGACGCATCTTAAATGTGACACAGGCTCGTATAGCTGCTGGCTTACCAATGGCAGTGATCCCATTTTTGACTGCGCATGCATCTTACAAAGGTTTTGTAAATCTACCTTTGAATACAGGTGATTTGAATTGTGAAACCTGTACCATAACACGGGGTGGACTGGTTGGTCTTGTTTTTGGTGATCTGTGCCCTGTTTTCTTGGCTATACCTGTGAATCGTGGCCTAGCAGCCAGGTATGAGTCAGCCCTGCTACCAGAAAAAGGAAACATCTTAACTTACTGGGCTAGAACTTCTAAGCCTGTCTTTAGAAAGATGTTATTTCCCATTTTGCTCCAGACCATGATTGCCGCATACCTTGGATATAGACAATATAAATTAGTTATAAAGGCTCTTCAGTTACCTGAACCTGGCCTAGAAATTCAGTGATTGTTAAACAACTTTGTACACAAAAATAAAACCGTAATGTATGAAAAAATAAATACACGGCTGAACAACTGTAGTGATCAATATTATCTTTATCAAGGACACTAAAGCAGTGAACATATTGCTACTCAGGGTCCCACATGGATCTGCATGGAGTTGGATTTGAACCCACAGTCTCCCTATTTCCAATTCCAGGCAGTTGAGCTACCCCCAACTCTCCCCCAACCCAACACACAAAACCCCCAGGATGATCTATGCCCTTATGTGGAAAATGTGATGGATAGAGACAGCTCAAGCACTAACCTGGAACCCAAAATCAATAAAAGTATTAGAACTGGGTGCTCACAAATTGGTAGCCATTTAGTTCCCCTACTATTAATTTTTTTCTTCCAGACATGAGTTGGGTGCAGTATGTGGACTGCAGTTTGCCCTTGAAGATATGGCAGCAGGCCAAAGGAGGGACCTTTTTCACCTAGTGCTTCAAACAATCTTCTTAGTGGGTATTTACTTCAAAACTTGGAAAAGATTTCTATCCAACTGGTATCCATTGGCTGAAAGGAAGACTTCATGCCATTCCATTTATCAAATTTTTTTGTTATAGATATATTCAAACATTCACAAAAATTGAGATAATATAATAAACCTCTATATGCGTATCATTAATTTTCAACTTTTTTGCTCAGGCCTTTAGTTTTAAGGGTGATCCTGGTCGATTTTCTGGAAACAATGGCCCTCTGTTGGTGGTGGCAGTATAAGGTTCACAATGTTTAGAACATCTGTCACGGAGTTTTCCTCATTTCGGTAGACGATAGAATCATCCAATCAATTTGCTAAAATAAAACACCCTAGACTCCATATTGATTTGTGACATCCAATTCTTTGGCCAGCCCTGTTGGCTCTACCTCCAAAGTATATCTCCCATCTGTCTACTTCCCCTTACCTCCACTGCTTCCTCCCCAATGTGAATCCTCATTGGCTTTCCTGTCCTAATTACTGCAATATAATGTCCTTCTTGCTTCTTCTGTTGTCTCCCAGCTCCACTGTGTGATCCGGTCACCACAAGGTAATCCAAGCATTTATGTCAACCTCTGGCTTACCACCCTCCAGTGACTTCTACTTTTGTCCCCCATGACCCTTTCCACTAATCCATGTGGCCAGTATATTCTTCTACAAACATAAATAGGCCAAGTCATTGCACTTCTCAAAATCCCTCAATAGCTTCCTATTACACTTGAACTCAGATTCTTCGGCCTGCGTTTCCTACATATCCTTATCTTGCCTACCTCTCAGAAGTAAATTTCCAAGTTATCTTCATTTTGCTCACTATACTCCAGCTGCACTAGCTTTCCTTTAGTTCCCTGAACATGTCAAGCCATGCTCCATCCACCTCAGGGCCTTTGCACTTGCTTCCCATCCCTTATCCTATACCCAAGATCTTCACTGTTAACTCTTTCCTATCATCCAGGAATCAACCCAGATATCACCTCCTAAACTAGCTCCCCAGCTCCAACACATTATTACTTACGAAATTATCTTATATTGTGTGTTTATTATCTTTTCACCTACTATTTTAACAGCTCTATGAATGAAGACATTTTTTCTGTCTTATTCACCACTGTATCTGGAGTTTCTGGAACAAGGTGTGTCATGGAAACTCTACACAAATTTGTTGAAAGAAATGAATGAATGAATGAAACAAAAAGGAACTTCAGAATCTTATTGTAAGCATCTTACAGGTAATAGCTATTTTTCTGAATGAGAAATGTAAACTTAATAACAGAGCAAGCAGATTTATAAGACTTCACGGTAAATGGTGGCTTTAGTAGGCTGTGTGGGACCACTGAAAATTCTAGAGAAGAACTGCCTCATGTGGAGACAAAGCCAACAGTGTGAGTTAGCAAAGACTGTATAAAGGCTCCTTTAATCCCCAGATAATATTCCTCCCTGCCTCCCCTGGCCTAATAACCCTGCTATTAAAGTAGTGACTATGGGTGAAACGTGTGCCCAGTGGTCCCTTGAGTACAAAGGCCATGTCTCCTACCTCCCGATAACTTCCCAGATTGTAATGCAGTTCCATTTTTCCATCACTTCACAGTCCCTAATTCCTGACAGTATTACTTCAACTGCCCATTGTGCTCCTGAAATTGATCTCTCCCTATTTGTACCCTAATTCTCAGCTCCAATTCTCAGTCTTCATTCTCTTCGGCTTTGGCCCTATCATCATTCCCTACTGCTGACCACTTCATTCTTGTGGAAACTCTTTGCTCTTACGACTCTCATGGCATTGAACTTCTGGCTATCTTTCTATTGCTATAGATTCCTTGCTCCTATGTACTGAATCTGTGTCCTTGACATTCTCCAAGGGTTACATTTAAGTGCTCTGCTTTACTCTATTCTGTGTTATATGCATGCCAATTATAGTGTGAAGTCATCTGTTTAGATAACCTCACAACGAATCCAAATCTTCAAACTGAGCTCATCTTTTCTCCAGAACCAGCTTCCCTTCCAGATTTTCCTATTTCCAACGTTCTATTTATTCATTCAGCTAAAATAATAATAAGATAAAAAAATTAAAAAGTTTAAAGCATCCTGGATTGTTCCCTCTCCTCCTAACTTCTCCCACCAGAAACATTCCATTTTAATTTTATTGTATTGTTTATTTAAGTCCCTTCCTGTTAGTATTATAATCAATTAATCCTCCCAACTCCATTCTTTTATCTGTTCCAATAAATCCAGTCAAGTTAACCTTGAAACATGCTTTGCCCGCACAACTGCATTGCTCAAAAATTATCTTTGACCGCCCTGGCTTAAGTGACTGCGCCCCCCCCCCCCATAGCATTTGCTGTTTTTGTCACTCATTAAATGCATTCCTTTATCACATTCTCTCTCATGCTATCCTTCCGTGTTGCCCGTGTATTCCCAACTAGCCAGAGAGACTCAGAAAGAAATAGATGTAATAATTATAGCTAACATGTATTGAGTGCTAATAAGGTTTCATGCACCCTACCAAGTGCTCTATATTTATTTTCTTGTTTAATTAATAATAGCACCTACAGTCCAGCGAAGTGGTGCTCCTTTATCCCCATGGCACGGAGGAAATGAGGATTTAGGTCACACAGCTACTCACTGACGGAGCCGGAGGGGGGACGTGTGCTGCCTAACTTCAAGGCCGGGGCTGCCCCCTACACCGCTTACGTGTCTCGTGCAGCACCCATTTGTATAGGACGCCTACTAAATGTGAATGATGGTAGCACTCAGCACCCCCGCAGAAGGCTGGGGGCGCTCAGGAAGTGCTGGCGGTGCCCTTAGAACACTGCAAAGCGCACGAAGAGGTAGGGTTGTGTCTGCCTCATTCGTTGTCAGGTGGAGCGCATGTCCCCCGTCAACCGAGGAACTGCTGTGATTTACAAGGCACTGGTTTCTGATGAAGAGTTCCCTGCCTCCGGGACGCAGTGATAGGAGCACCTGTTCCGGAGCCCCAGAGGGGACAACTGGAGCTTTCTGTGCGAGGGGGGTTGTTCGTGGAGCGCGACGTCAGGGCAGTGCAGCGCCGCGGTGTCACCGGGCCAAGGAGCAGACCAGCTGAAGCCGCGAGGCCAAGGAACATTCTGTCCGGGCGTGCATGTCCGGGTGTGCATGCTAAGATTCCCAGAAAGAGAAAGCGACATTGTAGGAGAAGCTGAGGCAAGATTCTCCAGGCTTGTACAAGGCATTTAGCTTTTAGTTGTTATAAAAATGAAAATAATGGTGAAAGCAGGGAGAAATCCGCAGCTGCTCCGGGCTATTCATACCATAAGAGATCCCACCAGGCCCTCTTTATTGTTGCAGTTTTGGCAAATTATTTTCTTATCACACACAACCTCCTCACTTCTGTTCCTGGATAAGCACTTAGGCTCATAAAGCTGTGGGTCAGCCACAGTTGAGCATCCAGCTCGCGGAACAGCCGGCCGTGGGGAGCTCGAGAGCCCGCCCCTCCGAAAAGCAGCCACTGGAGTCCATAAAAAGCTGGCCCGGCCGGTCCATCCGTGGCCCCGGGTCCAGGGCTCTGGCCCGCATCACCCGCGGCCCGGGCCGGGGGGCCCCGGGCCGGGCTTCACCCGCGGGGATGGCCACGCCGCGCCGGTGGAGCTGGGGAGCCCCTTCCTGGGTGCGAGCGCGCACCGGCAGGTGCTGCAGCCGGCGCCCCGCTGCACCGGGGCTGGCCCGCCGCGGACAGAAGGGGCCGGCTGCCCACCACACATGTGCGCTGGACAAATGCGCTGGCATCTCCGGCGTGGGCAGAGAGCATGCCGCTCCCATTATCCCGGCCCATTAGGGAAGCAATTGGAAAAAAAACATTTAGCAATTTGGACAGGAGTGAGGCTGCCGAATGGCTCGTTTCTCTGTGACAGCCTGCCACGTACAGATGAAAGGGAAGGCTTATAACAAATTTTCATTACCCCCAAATAAAAAAGCAACAGCAGGCAAAGCAAGGGCTTTGAGGCTGAGAGGTGGGGCCAGAAATCCACCCAGAAGACCACAAAGGAGCCTCAGCAAAACAAATCAATCACTCTCTCCAGTCACTTCCACTTGCAGAGTGCGGTTCATGCAAATGGCAATCAGGCCTGTCAGCGTGTCAGGCTTTGGCCTTCAGCTCCTTGCCTCACACTATTCATTAAGTGCACCAAAATACAGCCTGCAGGGCTCTCCCCTTGCTCAATGCCCTTGCTCACCTTTCCTCAACAACCTAAGCCCCACAGGAAAACCCACCCCCAAGCTGGGGGGCAGGGACGCAGGCAGGATTTGGTGAAGGGAAGCGACAGGGAATTTGCAAACAGCACCAGGGTCTTTGCATTTTGCTTTGCTTCCAGCTTTAGTTAGCACCGGGTGGAAATCAGACCTCAGATTCAGAAGGGCAAAGGGTCCTGTGGGGGCTCCCAGATGCTCGGGGCTGCCGTTCTCACCCCCAATCCAGGTTCTGCTGAGAGAGTCCAGGACACCCACTAGGCACAGACCCCAAATGAAACCCCAGCCTCTGAATATCCCACACGAGTCCCACAGCCCACTCCTGCTCTAATGAGCCTGGCTGCCCGCAGAGCTGTGTAATGCATTGCGCCTTTGACCTTATTAGAAGACAACTACACAAATACCGCCTTTTCCTGGCCTGGGTGTCTGTCCGCAGGTATCCCCAGCACGTTTACCATGGCAGATAAAAATGAATTGTGGCAGGGGGTTGCAGACTGGATGTTGAAGAAGATCAGGGCTGGAATAGAGAGGTTTCCCATTCCATGGTTTCTCAAAATCCCAGTCTTTCATTATCAACTGCTTCAAAAACACATGTTATTAAACATCTGGGTTTTAGTGACATCCAAGACGGCACAGAGAATGGAATAAATGGGATTTGATGTGTGTGTGTGAAGGGGTGTCTAAGGATTGTTCCCCATTGGGACCTGAGTGTTGACAGCTAAAGGGCAGAGTTTGGTCACAGCCCCCAGAATATCAAGACAAGGCCCTAGTGTTACCTTTTCTATTTGTAGATTAAACTAGTTTGCAAAGAAATAACATATAAAACGTATAAAGATGTTTCAGTCTCCCTAATAGGACACATGTTAAATGTCAAGGATTTGTGATGTTTGTGGTACATACACACAGGTAACTACGGAGCTCAGATGGGGAGTATCCCTTAACGGCCTAGAGCTCTGAAAAGGATCCACTCAGGGCAAGAGAAAGGTTTGTTGAGTGCCTTCAGTGTGCCAAGTCCCTCAGACAAGGTGTGTTTTTGAATGGTAAACTGAGGTCCAAGAAGTTTTCCTACCTTGCCCAAGGCCCTACAGCCAGAGAGGGGCAGAGCCAGCGGTACAGAGTTTGGGGAGGATAGAGAGTTGGCGGGAGCCATCCACAGAGCCAAGGCACAGAGACAGAAAATCTAATTCTGCCCCCGAGTGCCTCCTCTGTCCAGAGCACTGGCCCAGACACCAGGAGAAACAAAGATGCAGAAGAAATGAGATTCTCTTTAAGGAGCTTGAGACCAAGATGCAATCAGAGGCACCACTACCATAAAACACCGTGATGAATGACAGAAGGTATCAGGGAACGAAGAGATAAATAGATGGGGAAAACATGTTTGAGATGCAGGGGTAGCCTGGTTTGACTGAGGTACTGACCAGAAATTTTTCTCTACATACCCAAGGATCCCAAGCTAGTATTAAGGGAACTGAACACTGAGCTTTTCAATTTCCCCTAGTTTTCCCAGTCCAATAGACTCCAGGCACTGGTCATGGGGGAAAGGGAAGGGGAAGTCGGTTTAAGGTTAAGAATTCTTGAAACAACCTAAGTGTCCATCTGTGAATGAAAATGTGGCACATAGATACAATGAAACATTATTTGGCCTTAGGAAAGAATGAAATCTTGCCATTTGTTACAACATGGATGGACCTAGTGGGCATTATGCTAAGTGACATAAGTCAGGAAGGAGCACCAGGATGGCTCAGTCAGCTGAGCGTCCAACTCTTGGTTTCAGCTCAAGTCATGTTCCCGTGGCTTCGTGGGTTCGAGTCCTGCATCGGGCTCTGTGCTGGCAGTGAAGAACCTGCTTCGGATTCTCTCTCTCTCCCTCTCTCTCTGCCCTTCCCCCACTTATGTTGTCTCTCTCTCTCTCTCTCTCAAAATAAATGAACAAAACTTTAAGAGAAAAGAAATAAGTCCGAGAAAAGGCAAATACCGTATGCTTCCACTTGTATGTGGAATCTAAAACAAAACAAAACAAAAAACGAAAAAAATTAAACTGAACTCATAGAGACAGAGAGAAGATTGGTGGTTGCCAGAAGTGAGGGCTGGGTACAAAAGGGTAAAAGTGGTCAAGCAGTACAAACTTCCAGTTATAAAGTCCTGGGGATGTAATGCACAGCATAGCATCTATAGTCAATAATACTGTACTATGTATTTGAGAGTTGCAGAGAGAGTAAATCTTAAAAGTTCTCATCATAAGAAAAAAATTGTAATTAGGTGTGGTTGATGGGTGTCAACTAGACTTACTGGGGTGATCCTTTCATAATATATACAAATACTGAGTCTTTATGTTGCACACCTGAAACTCAAGAATGTTATATGTCAATGGCACAAAAACAGACACATAGACCAATGGAATAGAATAGAAACCCCAGAACTAGACCCACAAACGTATGGCCAACTCATCTTTGACAAAGCAGGAAAGAACATCCAATGGAAAAAAAGACAGTCTCTTTAACAAATGGTGCTGGGAGAACTGGACAGCAACATGCAGAAGGTTGAAACTAGACCACTTTCTCACACCATTCACAAAAATAAACTCAAAATGGATAAAGGACCTGAATGTGAGACAGGAAACCATCAAAACCTTAGAGGAGAAAGCAGGAAAAGACCTCTCTGACCTCAGCCGTAGCAATCTCTTACTCGACACATCCCCAAAGGCAAGGGAATTAAAAGCAAAAGTGAATTACTGGGACCTTATGAAGATAAAAAGCTTCTGCACAGCAAAGGAAACAACCAACAAAACTAAAAGGCAACCAACGGAATGGGAAAAGATATTTGTAAATGACATATCGGACAAAGGGCTAGTATCCAAAATCTATAAAGAGCTCACCAAACTCCACACCCGAAAAGCAAATAACCCAGTGAAGAAATGGGCAGAAAACATGAATAGACACTTCTCTAAAGAAGACATCCGGATGGCCAACAGGCACATGAAAAGATGTTCAGC